GGACACTGGAGGAACAGCCACCTATCCTGCGGAAGGTCTGTACAGTTGTCTCTGGCAAAATACATAGGTACATATAAGGTAGATGAGAACGAAGTACTCCGTACCACACTCATCGAAGTCCTTGCATACATCCAACTGCCCACCTGGTGACCCTGAAAGGCTGCAATGTGATAAATGACCTAGATATGACAACCCACGGGGCACTCGGTGCACATTTGCAAGGAGCTGCAGTTACAATAGGAAAAAATTCTCCGATGAACATCGTTTCCGTTCTGGTAATTGACACAGGGCAACTACAACTGAAATACGACCGGATTGGACCATTTTGGGTCAAAGGTAAAACCAGATGAATTTGGGGACGGCCTGTCTAGTTCGGCTGGAACATGACGCAAACTAATATTCGCAGAGGACAAGCCTTTTCTTGCTAGACTGTTTGAAGATAATATTTTCTTCTTCTTGATATGTATCTATGTATCTGTTAGGCGGAAATTGTGAGTTGAGCGCAGTTCAAATGTGAGATCCACTCCGGAAATACTAGTTGGTCGAACTTGACTACCAGTAGTGATAGTCTGCAGCCATACAATCCAAACATACTTACTCCGTAGGTGCTTGGAAGCTGGGGTGGTTAGTCCCTGAATACAGTTCCTGCTGAACTATAACCTGTGAGAGAACAAGTGATAGACCACTCGTCCACTCCTACGAAAATATTGCTATTTGCTAGGTGGCTGGCTGCCCAAGTCCGACTCTTGATACCGTATGGGGCAAATGGTGCTGGATGTGGATATTTCGACAGTGGCACCGTGTCAGAGAAACATTACGGATAATCAACTATCACTGAGCAAAAATTATTTATTATAACTTCAAGGGTAAGATTATTCACTCAACCATTAAACAAAACCTGATAGTGGGTTACGGTAGAAAGTACTGTAGGAGGGAAGAAAAGCCCGAAGAGGTAAAGTCTCCAACATCCTTCAAGAAAGATATCAATACAGCAAGTTCCAGTGCCACAGGTGACAGGCCACTCTTGTGGCAACTTCAATGACCAGTCTGTGACGGCTGCTATGTGGATTTCGATTATTTGTACAGAGGAAATCCGTAGATAGTCAGTCCGTACTAGCGAACTCAAGGATACAAATGTTGACTTCAGCAGTCTCCCCCGACGGTTCCGAATGGTCAGGAAGTTATTGAGGCGACCGAATAGTGCGAACCTGATCAGCCCCTCAAACTGGGATATGACTTCAGCCAGTCAACGTCAGATAATCCGAGCATAATTACCGTAAGAGAAGGTAATTGCGTGACTGGCAAGAAATACCAAGGTAATATTGACAAAGCCCTGGGTCTGAAGCCGATCGCGGCAGAGTCTCAACAGGGCAGTCTTGCGGTCTGCCACCTGCACTTTGCCCAGCCTGACCGACGACAGTACCTACCTAGTGGTGGACAGCGTTATGTGCCGCTTTAAGTGCCCACCAGCAAAACATTATCATCATTATTACCTTGACAAACGCCGCCGCCATTTTGGACCTTTTTCCTTGGGTCATTTTGCCTTTCTTCCTTTTTGAGGAGGGTCTTGGGCCCATGCAACTGCGAGTCTGCGGGACCCTGGCGCACATGAAGAGACCAACCACACTTCGTTTTTAGGCCTCTTCGCCATCCGAATTTGACTTTCCCGAACCAGTCAAGCGTTGCTCTCCCTTTCCATCATTTTCTCTTCCTCTGTCATGCCGGCGAAATTTGATGATGGCTTATGACTAGCTGCGAGGTGGCCATCCGCCCCTTTGATGGAGACACTATAGCGTTTTTCAATGCTGAGATGACCATCACCCTCAATCAGATCCGAGGGTTCATTTCAAGCCCCAGTCTAGATTTGCTCGCGGCCTACTATTCGTTCTTTACGGACGCTGACTCGGGTGATTTTTTCAGATGACGATGAAGACTGTCTAGATGTTATTGACTTACATCAAGAGCGAGAGAATGCCACAACCCTCAGCCCTCAGCCCTCAGCTTGTCTAATGCCTGGTGGCACGCGCTTGCAAGATGGTGGAGACCGTTCTTATCTGGGGGTTCTGGAACAGTGCTTCAGCCCACTTGGACTTGTGATTATTGATTATTTGCAAAATTGCGACGCAGGCGAGACATGATCCAAGTTTAGAACGAACTCAGACCGAGCCGATCGTTGAGACTGGACGATGAACAAGTAACTTTGTGTTCGTGTTCTTGCCTCTTTCAAGACGGTTTGACTGGCGGCACTTATCCGCTATGCCGTGACTCCTATGTATCTGCCTGCGTATGAAGTAGTATTTTGGACGCATACACCAGAACCCCGGTTCAGCAGACAAAAGAAGGGAAGGCTGAAGCATTTAACACAAAGGAGAGGCCAAAGAGGTCAAGACGTACAGACGCGCAGCTCTAGCTCCAAGGTCAACGCCGAAGGTGACGCTGAGCGTACCTTTATTGGTGGTCTGGGCTTCTGCTGGTTAACCTTTGTGGTGCAGTTCGACTTCAAACTAAAATCTCTGGCTTTCTTTCGGGGAGTCTTGAAGCTGTATCGATTTCTTTGTGGACTATTTACGCGGCCGTGGGCCATATTCACACCGAGTGATCCTCTTTCAGCGCGTAATCCGAAGATGATCATGCTCTTGCTCTGTTTCTTTCGAGCTTTCTCGAGAACAGTCTCAGCACGTCGTCATCGGTAATCGACAATCCAATCAATGCTCATCAATCAGATACTGAGGCTAAGGTACGGAGCATGTTGTTTTTGGTTTGGCCTGCAACAAACAGCCAATAAATATAGATTACCTTGCTCCATCCTGGCTGGTTGGAACAGCAGTACTCTTTGATATCATATGTAATTTGCGGTGCATTGATATACCCCATACGAGAGGTATTGATTAAATGAAATTAATCTGACGTAAAAATGAGAAGTCGATTGACAATTGAAAGCGAGGCTCCCATGTTCGACGAGGCAGGGTAACATCATGAGATATTATTTATGCATCATCATTACTCTGTAATTGTTCGCCTTTCCCTCAGGTAAAAGTATCACCTCTGCTACAAACTAGATAGGGTTCATGAATATCAATCATCCATGCTCCGTAGTGCATATCTATTTCGTGCTCCGTACTATGATAAACTGAGACACTAGGTACCTTAGTAAGCCCAATAACATTCCGTGGCTGCCGGCTGTTCCAAAATGCAACTTAAGTTCTCCTATCGTATTCCTTCTTGCTCGTATACGGCCAGGGTCATCAGTTTGGAATACACTGGAAGGAGTCTGTACTCCGTATTCAATATGCTGAGTCCGTAGATAGACCTCGACCTCATAAACCGGCTAGCCGCTTCTGGAGTATTGGACGAATTAGAGAGGTCGCATGCGGGCATAACATGATACTATGAGTAGGTACTCCGTAATACTGTTGGGCTGACTGTCCTATCTGCATAAGATCTGCACCATACCGCGTCACTATTTATCGATTATTGAACTGAACTATCAGACGACAAGCAGAGTACAGTACTCTGAGAGATGCTCCGTACTTCATACATTACATTTTACTCCATGCGCCTACGTGAACCCCCAAGGCCCCTGAGCGCCGTCACTTTTCTGAGCCCCTCTCTTAGGAGTTAGGAGTTTTGGGAGCAATGGACTAGGCGTTGGCGGAGAGAACCACTCCGAATGAAACGGCCGAACTTGACGCTCAAAAGATACGTAGTCATCACGGTAAGCCAGTTGACGATACCGCTATCAAGTCATGACCCATGGTCTTGGGGTGAGACGAAAAAGGAAACGAGAAGGAAGATGACTGATGCGGCACTCATCCACTTGTATGCCCATGTGGGCTATTTACGCACCATCCTACCCATTTGATTATTGATTGACTGTCAGCCTTTCAAAGACACTTTCTCTCCCGTCCTGGACCGCGCCTCGCGAGTCGCGAGCGAGGGAAATGCTGAGCGCAGTCGGAAATTGTCCTTGATCGCTCAACGCCATCATCGGCATAGTAGTGATCACTGATCAGAATTCAATTGGATTTGCAAAAGTCAAACCGCCTGAGCCTCTATCCTTGATTATTGTCGCCGGATTTGCGCCAATCAAGGTAGGAAACGGTGGGTTGGGACGATTGGATAGGATTCGTTGTCGTCTGCTTTGATCAAAGAGAAGATGGACCTCAGGAGAAAACTAACGTGTAGAACATTGTTTTCGTGTCCCTACATAATTACTGAGCTTACAGAAGCTCTCCAGCACGGAATGCCATCCCCGCAATGAAGTATTAAAGAAGCAGAAGTGAGAAGGCTCCTACTCACATGCCCCTGAGTCCTGCTCAGGAGTAGATGGTACATGCTTGTGGCACTATCAAGTTCAGTGGTGTCAACAATGTTGCGCGCCCTTACCCATGCTAGGGTCTTTGGAATGGCGATAGGTCGATTCTCTATTGTTGGTTTGGCAAGCATTATGATTTCAAGATTATTGCCTGCTGAAGGCCGCGCAAGTGTATGATCACAATCACGAGCTCAAACCAGGGAAATGGAACCATTCGCCTTCCATTTCCTCCTTCTTGACTGTCTTTGGATAGGTTTAATAACGATAACGCGACTCCACAGTAACAACTAACAAGGATGAATCTGATTCCTGAAAGGAAAAACAGCCACAAGCAGCCAGCGACTCAGCTTGTCGAAGTCGGTCAGGATGGATCCTTGGCTTCTATCATCTATTTGCTCCGACCAGCTGATGCAGTGGAAACTGGTAATATCACAAAACGTATTTCTTCAAAATTGGGTGATCGTGTCAGCGTGGAATATCATGATAGCCGCGGAAATCCCAGATAATCAATGGTCAATTTAGGATGTGCAAAGAGTCTCTGTCTGTGTAGAAAAGCGTAGAATTTGGCATTTGATTCGCACATGGGAGTCCCATTTTCGTGGTTCGGACTAAACACGGAACACTATCAGAAGACAGGGAGCAGAGTTGCAAAGGAACTGTGGATAAGGATACATTATTGATCATCTATGTAACCATCAGCTTCGACTTAAGCGGTAGATTACCATCTGGGGGCGCCGCTAGCAGGCTGAGCACCACCTTTGTCCATCACAATAATGCAGGTTTACCTAGTCTGTATGGAGTACAAAGAGCCTAGTATCAGCCTGGTCGGTTCGGTTATAACCTGTATGTATGTACCTTGGACTGAAGGGGCAAAGCGTACCACTACTGTTCTACTGCTTGCTGCCTGCCCAGAAGTTGCCGAGCTATCTTCTCCGGCTAGTCTCTTTTATGGAAGCGGGAAGACTGAGCCTGAGGGCTGAGAGGAGAGTTACACGCAGCAATTGGACTGATCTTCTTTGGAGCAACTTTTCCAGTCCTCCACCGCCAATAGGCTCGTCACTACGAGATTCTGGGTCCTTTTGTGCATTCGTCCATCCAATGATTATCAGAGCTGCCTACCTTACATCCAAAGGTCCAGCCAGTTTCGATACGCGGCAAAACATCCAACGTTGCTCTGGCTTCTCATTCTTAGACAACCAATGTGGAGGACCATACCTGGCTGAAACCCTTTTTCTATTTATTTTATTTATTTATTATTATTATTTTTTTCTGATCTTCCGGCTCTTTGATTGTGTTTCGAGCTGCAAGTGGGTTTACAAATGTTGGGATCTGCTAAGCCTCTCATTATTTCCATCATGCTTTCCTCCCTGTGATACAGTAGTACAGAAAAGCTCTGTACTAGTATGGTAATTGCCCTTCATCTGTTCTCCGTTAGCGCCGTTTGCCCTATCTATTTGCAGTTAGTCAGGGCCGGATTATCCAACCGTCGGCCGCCATCCATACCAGGCTGTCCGGATTGGTTCTCATTTGATACACGACTATACAGAACGATACCTGGCTACCTTACGCATGCATTTTTCACCTGATCCATCCATGACAATCCGACTCATCCATACCGCCCCAGGCAGAGGTACGGGCTCAACCAACCCTGGCCATACTCAATATTTTGTACCTAAGCCGCTAGCCCACCTTGCTGACGGCCTATCTTCTGGCCTACCCTACCCTTGACTTTTCGCCTGGTCACAGTCCACAGCTGCCATAGTAACCTTGGAAGCCACACTTACGGACCAATTACGACGCCTGCTCCGACGTTATCCATAGTTCCATAGTTCCATCCCCTCATCTGCCCATGCCAGTGAACTTCCCAAACCAGGTTTGTATGATCATTACCGAGTATTTCCGTAAACTGACCGGAGTACTCACGGAAATGACCTACCTAATTTACTCATTCCTTTTGCTTCCGCCTTGGTTTGGCTAGAAATTACTTAGCGATCAACCACAGAGTGGTCGTTGTAGTAGTGCACAAACCTCCCTTCGTTCACTTACAGTACCTCTCCCGTGCCTCCGGGCCTGTTGAGCAATGCCGCCCCTTCTCCTTTAGCTTTCTCCCCTCTCTTTTCTTTTTCCTGATGCATTATTATTCCCTTTTCCCGTCAGGCGGCACATAACGGTGGTTGCAAGAGTGACACTAAACCAAACTTATTATTGGATATGATATGGGTCCTACAGAGTCCGCAATAGCGTAAGTATGGAATACCTTACGCACCTAGGTACGTAGTTGTACGTTAGTTTCCAACTGTCCAATCTCGTCTAGATTCCAACCCCTCTTTTCCTTCCTTTCACTCTTAGACCTTGCCTGACTAATAATAACACGGAGTAACTATGGAGTATGAATTTTGCCAATCCCTCCCTCCTGGGTCTCAAGACTGTTATGGTCTAGGGCTGCTGACTTTATGGTTACCATTCCACTACTCGGTAGTAGAGACTAGTGGCAGCAGTAATACTAGTAGTAATGCATCCACTTGCTTCCCCGTGGCTCTGACATCAACCGGTATTCCACTTTTCGTTTCCTCCCAAGACAAAGCAGAGACAAATCAACCTGGATCAACTATGACCAAACCGGAACCAACCCAAACGAGTCCAACGAAGGAGGATCAACCCTCTGGACCTGCGTCCGGGTCAAACTCTGTCTTCTGTATGGACACTCTTGGACTGTGGACACAGCGGACACACCACCTTCTCCGGACGAGGACTAACCGACCCTGGCTCTTCAAGCGGAGTAAGTAGTGGTGTCGTGATATGAACATTTAGCTGGATGAGGGATGATGTCTTGATCTCATCCTTCAATTATTACCTTTTTTTTGCCCTCACTACTACACCTACTAACTCTTCATTTTCATTTCCAATAATTTCTGTTTTTTCATCATGATTATTTTCTTTTCATACGGCTTGGTTCCATAGAAGGATCAGGTCTTTTCTGATCACTTATTTTTTTTTTTTTCTTATTCTTTTTTTTTTTTTTAAAAAGCCCATTAATATTCACTTTTTTGATCTTTAATTTCCAATCCGTTCTACTTCATTGTCCCTTTAGACTTTCATTCATTAGACTTATACTTGCGTCGACATCTGTATCTCCTTGGACATGTTTCCTTTTCTATAACTTGGGCGGGCTGGCAACTTCCTCCTAGCACTTACATTTCTCATGCTGAGTCTTCTATGACTGCTTTACTCTAGACCTGTGTTTTGGTGGTTTCTTGCCTGCTCTGGATCGGCCTTTCTTCAAGTTACCTTACCCCTTCTGTGCCTTCATTCCATTGACAAGGCATGGTCAACATTCACCAGATCAGTTGTCGTCCTCCTATCTACAAAGTACTGCGCAGCTTCTTATTATACCAACTCGAATAGAAATCAACAACTCTTTCAATTGTCCTTCGAATCCCCTTGAGCCGGCGATCCGACTTCTATATCTTCCAACCCACTGGAGCTGGTTTGCGTCCAGTGACATTGTGAATTCTGATCTCGGAGCGAGGTCGGATACCGCAAGATATTCATAGAGGTGGAATGAGACTCTCATGACAAGCGTGTCCTGCAGAGCAGAGCTTCTTTCGCAATTTCCTTGTTCGATCCATACTCACCATCTCGTGCCATATGCCTCCGACTATATACACTCCGCAGTACTTCCCCCCGCCCCGGCTCCGATAACCCCCACTACGCAACACTATCCGTACGAGGACAGTTCGGCATCGACGTTCAGACAATACCCGGAGACTGCTTCGGAGGTCTCTGAGAATCGCTGGACTGCTCCCTTAAGGGACGGTCTGCCAACTCCCCAAACGACATGACCGGGGTGGCCTACAAGTCTCTCCCATCGTCCAGCTATGGGGGCAAACATGATGCAATCACTCTTCCCCCCTATGTTAGAGCGTCCGCTTATACTCGCACCGGCTACGACTCTTCTACAATGATACCTTCAATCAAATCGCAGAGTCAACCTCTATCTACCCACAATGTCCCAGCGTCCGTGCCAGCAAGCCAGAAGAAGGCCAGCACCAATTCCGCAGCGTCTTACCTGCAAATTCCATTATCGGTCAACGACAGCAGGGGAAGCCTGTCTGAATTCGCTGCGCAGGTAAGCATCAGAACTGCTCGCTTCGTGCGGGACAGGGTCGGCTGACTTTATCCTCTTGCAGATGACTTGTTTATTCTGGTTTGAAAGCACATCAAAGTTGAAGACCATCGAGGAGCGTGTGAATACACTGCCTTCTCTTGTTCCGGAGGCGTTTCCTACTCCTGGCTTCAAGAAGTGGGTAACGAACATTCTATCAACGACGCAGGTCAGCCAGAATGTGATCTTACTGGCACTCATGTTCATCTACCGGTTGAAGAAGTTCAATCCTGCGGTGCGGGGAAAGAAAGGCAGTGAGTTTCGGTTGATGACAATCGCCCTGATGCTTGGAAACAAATGTGAGTACTTGTCCAATCGTGAAAGTTGCGAGTACAAAAGCTGATTTGTTTCCCAGTTCTCGATGACAACACGTATACAAACAAGACATGGGCTGAGGTTTCCGGTATTCCGGTCCAGGAAATCCACGTGATGGAAGTCGAGTTCCTCAGCAATGTGCGGTACAATCTCTATGCATCAGAGGAGGAATGGGCTCAATGGCATACGAAACTCGGGGTTTTCGCAGACTTCTTCAGCAGAGCAGTTGTGATCCCAGATGAGGTCGACTTGAGCCCTACAACTCCCGTGTTGCGCATATCTCCTAGCCTTCGAGCAACATCCCAGCTCTCTTCGTCGACTCCGTCCAAGTTACCCTCTCCACCAGCATCTGATCCTATTCGCCCGCAGGCAGCGTGGATGCAACCGGCCAATACTTACGCACCTCTTCCTCAGCTTGGTAGTGATATTCAGCTCGCCAACCCTCGCAAACGGACTCGCGACGAACAATTCGATGAGCATCCCGCAAAGAGAGTTGCCGTGCCCCAGATTATTCCGCCAGCTTCTACCCTACCGCCGACTTCCGCCATGACAAGCCTTCCGGCCCTGCCACCGGTCATCACACCCACCTCTGCTCCTTCATCACACCAGGCTTACATCCCTGGACCTATTCCCCATCTGCCACGTCCCAACCTCCCTGTTTCATCACACACACTGGTTCCAAGCATTCCTGCGACCACGCCGCAACAACCCTCTACTGCTGGTCGCGCTATGCCTCCGACTACGTACAGTTCGTCCACCACCTGGGCACCATCGGTCCCACATATGACCACTGTGCCACCCGTTTTAAATGGCATCTACCATACCCCAATCTCGCTACCCGATCCCGGAAGATATCACGCGAGTCCCTACGGGATGTCGTCGGGCACTGTATCACCAGCGGTGTCGGCCTACTCCGTACACACACCTCAGACACATCTGTCACCTTCTTTCTTTCTGGCAAACCGGAACTCCCCTTATCGACCTGTCCGAGCTGTCAACACCCTGTTAATTCCACCTCCATCAACATCTCTCCAGCAGCAGCGCAGTGTCCCTTTTGACCATATGCACTACCAGCCGCTTGGGAAGACAGTCGCGGAGCGTAAAACAGGCGTGTTGCCCTATCTTCATCACGAAGCATGGCCACAGGGGCCCTTCATCCAGCCGAATTTTCAGTCAACTCCAAACTATTCGACTTGAACATGGCCTTTCACGACATTTCACGACCTTTGACATGAGCAGGATGCCTTCCACTTCTTACCCAAAGCTGTATTTTGTACAATATCTTTACATTTTTGACGACTTGCATTACAACGGCGTTTAGCATCATAGATGGATTACAAAGGCTCATTACCATTGTCCATATCGTGTGTTGAGGCGGAATTCGTGAGCTCTGGTGGCTTTCTGGGAAACGCATGACACTGGTGTTACTTTCCATCTCCGTTGCTGCCTTTTGATCTGTTATCCTACACTGTTACCACCAGACGTTGCAGGTGCATACTTAGGCGTTCGTTACCTTCTTTTGACAGGGTCTGTCCACGTTGAACTGGACATTTGACAATCCTACAATCGTCCGATCTTGAAACCTCACCGTGCATAGTCCCATGCTACCGTAATTGAAGTGCTAAATATCCACGTATGCCCCCGTACTTGAGCGGGAAAGTTTACGGCTGGGGATCGTTGTACCCAACACAGCCCTATTAACTATACGCTGACTATCTGCTTCTCAAGTGCTAATGGTTCAGTGACTTGAAGCAATCTAATAATGCCTGTGGCCGAAAGCTACTTGCCCAATTGGGTTTCGGATTGCCAGTCTCTTGTCTCTAAGGTAGCTAAATGTATGATTAATGGTTCGCTGCCCTTATCTATCGATGTGTACCGTTTCTATGGACGAACCCGTGAGCTCTATCAAGACTTTTTCCCCGATACAGGCCACTGCACCGATGACGAGAAATCGATAAACAAGGACAGCCCGTTCATCCGCGAAACACGGGAGCTTCGACCGCTTGGTTGTCATCTGACGATCTCACAGTCAAAGGTTCAAGGGAGACCGGAGGGAAGAAACGGAGAAACGAGAATTGAGTGGAGCTTGCTCCCCGGACTGTCATCGTTGCTGGTCACTCAGACACTAGATAACCACAGCTATTCGCAGCATGACAGCGGAGCAGGACTGACAGATGGGCTGATTATCTAGACTCGTATGTGACTGCGGGTGATCCCGGTAGGTGTTCCGGGAGGACCGTAGGGCAGGGAATAAGCCCGCAGGAGCTGGAGAGGGTCAAATTAATTTTGGGTCTCGACGTCACCATCCTGATGCTGGACAGACTGTTATAAAAACTAGAGGAAGTGATTTGATATATTGCTTGTCGAATATAGCCAGAGGCTACTTTGTCTATCGAGGTAAGAATTGAGCAGGAGGTGATCACTTTTCCGGATTTAGCCTATTGGGAAGCACCAAGATGTAGATATGATATCAGACGGAGAGATAAAGCAACGGCTTCCAAGTACCATTCTAGAATCGCATCGTGCTGCTATTTATACGCGCAAGTACCGGTATATAGGTACTGTAGTACCATTTTTCAAGAGCTACGACCAAGAGCATCGTCATTGCTGGAACATTCAAGACAGCTTATATCACCCCCTCACGATATTGCACTTGATGCTTATCTTCTCCTCACAAGGGAAAAAATCTCTGCGACTTTCTCCTCACGACTCCAATTCAAAGGCGTCGGTGTGAGAAGTGAGACCCAGAAAACCAGAATAGTCTTGTTTCTCGGGCCCATCAGAACTCTAGATTCCTCTCTTTGACCCCTTTGCACCCGGAATCAACCCACATTTAACCACGGCCAGTCTGCAGAGAGCTCCAAAGCGGAAAAGACAAGCAGAGAAAAAGTGAAGGGGAGAAAAAAAGGTAGAGCGGCAAAAGAAGTCGAACAGCTCCACCGGAGCTCCCAAACAAGAACCAGAACAAAAAGAGCGAGTGACTTGAATGTGAAGTTCCCAAGGTGCAGTTCTCTGAAGGCCTCGGTGACACACCGATTCGCCCAAAACAGCTTAACAGCTTATCCTGTCATTCCTGAGATTTTGCCTCAGGCTCTCTCAGATCGTCATTTACCCATTTTTATTCTTTGAATTTTGATTCTTTTTTTCCTTCGTCCCTCTTCCTTTTTTTTCCCCTGCGGTGATTATCAGAAACTCGTCATCAACGTCCACAATTGACTGGATTCCCTTTTGTGGGTTTTCACTCTTCTCTCCCCTTCTTCCCCTGCCCCCTTCGCCTAGGTGCGATCAAGACCTTCAATGGTTGGAAGTTCCATGGTGATCCGCTCCAACATGGCTTCCCCAGCTGTCATGCAGTTGTCGTCGCTGTCGCGCAGGTCGCTTTCGACGCGATCGCCAGCCCTCGCTCTCCGGTTGTCTCGCCCTCTGAGATCCGGTACTTCCTCGCAGCAGTCTGTCCAGCGCACCTTCCGTCGCTCCTACGCCGATGCGGCTCCTGCCCCCAAGCCCAAGAAGCGACTCAGGTTCCTGCGCTGGGCCTGGCGTCTGACCTGGCTCTCCGGTGTCGGTCTCACCGGCGCCCTCCTTTACAGCATCTATGAACAGCGCCATCCCCTTGAACAGATCGAACCCGACCCGACCAAGAAGACCCTTGTCATCCTCGGTATGTTGGGTTCCTTACCTTGTCTGCCGCCAATTGGTCGCGTCGCGAAAGTGACCTGACAACGGAGATGTACTCTGATTCGTGAAATCACTAACCCGGTGATCGCAATTGCAGGTACGGGATGGGGTTCAGTTTCTCTGCTGAAGAAACTCGATACCGAGAACTACAATGTCGTCGTCATCTCTCCTCGAAACTACTTCCTCTTTACTCCTCTCCTCCCCTCTTGCACCACTGGTCAGGTCGAACACCGCTCGATCATGGAGCCCATTCGTAACATTCTCCGCCAGAAGAAGGCCCACGTGAAGTTCTACGAAGCCGAGGCTACCAAGATCGACTACGAGAAACGCGTTGTCTACATCAGTGACGATTCTGAGATCAAGGGTGACATCTCTCACACCGAGGTGCCTTTCGACATGCTCGTTGTCGGTGTCGGTGCCGAAAACGCTACTTTCGGTAAGTCGCGAGCTTTACAGTACAATTTGATCGCAAAACACCAGTTAACGGTGCAATTACAGGTATTAAGGGTGTCAAGGAGCACTCTTGCTTCCTGAAGGAAGTTGGCGACGCGCAGAAGATTCGCAAGCGCATCATGGACTGCGTCGAGACCGCTATGTTCAAGGATCAGCCTGAGGAGGAAGTCAAGCGACTTTTGCACATGGTCGTTGTTGGTGGTGGCCCCACCGGTGTTGAATTCGCCGGTGAGCTGCAGGACTTCTTTAACGAGGACCTGAAAAAGTGGATTCCTGAGATCAAGGATAACTTCCACGTTACCCTCGTCGAGGCTTTGCCCAACGTCCTTCCCATGTTCTCCAAGCAACTGATCGACTACACGGAATCGACCTTCAAGGAAGAAGCCATTACCATTCGCACTAAGACTATGGTCAAGAACGTTACCGACAAGTATATCGAGGCCGAGGTGACCAAGCCCGATGGAACCAAGGAATTGGAGACCATTCCCTATGGCCTGCTGGTTTGGGCCACTGGTAACGCTGTCCGTAATGTTGTCCGGGACCTGATGAACCAGATCCCTGCTCAGAAGAACTCGCGCCGTGGTCTGGCTGTGAACGAGTACCTGGTTGTCAACGGTGCGGAGAACGTCTGGGCCGTCGGTGACTGTGCCGTTACCAACTATGCCCCCACTGCCCAGGTTGCCAGTCAGGAAGGTGCTTTCCTTGCCCGCCTTTTCAACACCATGGCCAAGACTGAGGCTATCGAAAAGGAGCTGAAGAAGCTCTCCGAGGCTCAGGCCGAGGCGAAGAATGAGGAGGAGCGCAACAAGATTTTCGACGAGATCCGCGAGCGCCAGAAGCAGTTGCGGAGAACCAAGCAGATTGGCCCCTTCCAGTACTCTCACCAGGGAAGTCTGGCTTATATTGGAAAGGAGCGTGCGGTTGCAGACATCAGCTGGCTGAGCGGCAACATCGCGAGTGGTGGAACAGTCACCTACCTCTTCTGGCGCAGTGCCTACCTGAGCATGTGCTTCAGCAGTAAGTGCCTCCTTCACTCTACCAATTACAATCTCGTTCCTTTCCCCTTTCTAACAACTTCGATAGCACGTAACCGTGTCCTGGTCGCTGCCGACTGGCTCAAGGCCAAGATCTTTGGACGTGACGTCTCTCGGGAGTAAATGACTACTTTCTGCCCCCCAAAACTGGAGACTCTTTACCCTCCGTACCTTCGCATACCCTTATGTCAACGATTTGAAGTGAAAGCTGTTACCCACCGTTTTCTTCAACATCTACCGTTTCCTTACGCCCGCTCTATGATTACCTACCGATTTCTCTTTCCTTTCTCCACCCTGTTGAGGCGCCATCGTCATTATGCGTCCGTCACAGTCGACCGTCCTTCGAGACCGATTTCGCCGAAAGATCCACTGATCGGACCCAATGGTCACAGAAGTGGAGAAAAGTGTAACTTTCTGCCCGTTTCTTTTGTCCGTGTATGAATTAGATAGACTGGGGATGGGATTGTTCTGTAGACATTTACGGAGTAGATATGGCCCTTAAATTCTTTTTCTGTATGATTCCGTACCCCGATCTGTCCCCTGATGCTTGGAACTGTTGTCAGCCATGTCTGTTTCCCTTAATTGCATTGAGCCTGGCAAATGGGAATAATGGAGATTATGTGATTTGCGTACATGGTTGTTATTAATCTGCTTGCAACAGTCCTACACCCTCGCAATTCTGGGACCGGATCCAATCACATGTGTCAAGATAGCTACTGTCGACATAAAAGAGGATGAGTTCAATTACCAAAAAGTGTCTATATCTGTCTTCTATTAGAGTTTCAGTTCAGAACTCAACTTCTGTACCTAAGTATTTTATATTCAGACTGAGGAAGGAAAGGAACCCCAGGTGAGAAAAAGAAAGGAGAAACGAGAAAGAATACCAATCCAAAAGGTATTTGACTCTGATTAGGGAGATGGAAAAGGAAACTTGAGCAGCTGGACTGAGAGGAGAGACGGGAGGGAGTAGTGAGGGATATAGTCCATGATGAGGTATGTAGTTGCAAAGGACAGGAGGAGTATGGGATATCAAGTAGACAATAGAAATCAATCAATCAATCAGAACAGGTTCCAACCACGGCTTCTCTGCTCTTTGACCGCCAATGGGCGGTCAGCGGTTCTTTGCTTGTTCCGTCCGTCAAGCTGTCGGATACTTTCGATCTTCTCCAGGGCAAGTTCGAGCAGCTCCTTCTTCCGGATGACGTCGAGATGTTTCCGGACGCGCGGGTCCTCTCGTGCGAATCGTTCCACCTCGGCGTCGGAGAGGTGTCGGCCTAGTCTCAAGTCCAGTTCGCGGGGGAAGTTGTAGTAGAACTCGGAGAGCAGCTCGACGTTGAGGAAGAGGACCGCCGTCGACGTGAGCTTATCAGCAACCACATCAAGGAAGACTTCGGGACAGTAATATTTATTCTTCTTTGACGCGCATTGTTTGGAACGGACGGCGAGCAGGCGCATTTTGATCAGGTCGGCACGATCACGTAGGAAGGCGCCTTCCCGGCCTGTTCTCTTCGTTAGTCCTGCGGCAGGAACGGCCAACTGCGAAAGACGCAACATACCTTTATCCAGCAGGGCGGAGCTGAATCCCCCTGCGCCAGCGGCGCCGTCGCCTTCCAGGACTACTTCGCCCTTTCTGACTTTATCAACGAATGTCATCACATCCTTGAATTTCTTCTTCCCAACGGCCTCTTCGACACGTCGGTAAGCAGCGTCGCAAGCTTTGAGCTCCTCCTTCAGTACGCGACTGACATTCTCCCTGCCCTTTGCCCATTCTGGGTCCTCAACTTCGATTTCGAACTTGTAAGGCTTGATGCAGTTTTCAACCTGATCACTAGTGCTGAAGAAGCGGTCGTTCAAAATGCTAGTGCAAGCCTCCATGATCTGCTTCTGTGCATAAGGATGGTTCGCAAATGTAGAGTTTGCCAGTAACTGGTCAACTTGGTTTTGAATAGCATTGGCAACAACCGTAGTCGCAAGCCTGCCGATTCCCAACTTTGTCAGAGAGGAGGTCGACGCATCCAACTTACGCCGCCAGTATTGCGAGTCGGCATCCGCTTTGGGAAGGTCGCTGAGAGGATCTAACTCTGGCATCGAGGCGGCCAAATCCTCAATCGGCTTGTTCCAGTATCTTTGCGCCAGAATGTCCATGACGCGCTGATCCAGTTCATTCTTCAACATTTCACGAACCTGAGGTCGACCGAAGCTCTCAGCAAACGCTTTGAAAGAATGCTTGAAGCTATCCAGACTCTCGGCAAGATAGGACTCGGCACTTAGTGGTCGATCGTTATACTGCACTTTAAATTCGTACGTGGCCTCCTCGAGTTCTTGGCTGATGGCGTCCCTAGTACCCGCTAGGCTTGCTGCCATCGTTTGCTCAAGAACATGCATGAGTTTGCCTCGCAGCGTGGATACGCCGACTGATACGCCCGACTGAGGACCGAATTCGGACGGATGAGCCGAAAAGTAGGCATTCTCGTTCTTGAGAATCGCACTAGTGATATTGCCGCTACCCCTGGAAAACAGAGCAGTTGTCTGAGGAACTCGAGATACCACACCAACGTAGCCCAGACGCAAAGGGTATTTCTGATCTGAAAGTATGCTGAATCCTCGCTCCGGATCGACAAGATCCATCTTTGTGATGACTCCGATCGTTCTCTCACCTCGAGGGTCCACCCTGCGACTTGCTCTGAGGGCGGTAGAATTGGCTAGATCAACATCCGCCGCAGAAATCGCGAGAATCACATTAGGTGGCTGAATGTACTTGTCGCAGAGGTCGGCAATTTTCTGCTTGAGCTCTGGCGGCTGATCTTTTCCAGCAACCTGGATATATCCCGGAAGATCAATCAAGGAAAGATCCGGAACGTTGGGGGAGTAGATAGTAAGCTGGATCGGGTCATCCGAGACACAGTCCCGTTCGGGAACTGCAAGATTGAGGTCGGTCAAGGTCCGCTGAATCTGCGAGAAATCCGTAATTTTCCCCAGACCCAGAGCAGGAAACTCTCCATATTCTGATTGTGCGTTTGGAGTGTTGACTAGTGTGAGCTCGATTGGCCGCCGGGTGACCATGTTGGTCCCTTTGGGCAGGAACTCGTGTCCAACAATGGCCTCGAGAACAGAACTTTTGCCAGAAGATTGTGATCCGATGACAACAATTGATGGCAGTGTGAGGGTACCGGACTGCCCGACGGTCTGAAGAATATTTCTGATCTCGATCATCTTCCGCGTAAGAAGCATCATCTGATCATCCTCGGCGATTTGTCTCGCGTGACGGACGTCATCTTCGTCAGACTGGCTGTAACCAAAAGCCGTGCCAGTAGCCACCCCAGCTACACCAGCACCAGCTCGACTTTCTTTAGGGGACTCCCCTCCTCCGGACGAACCACCGCTTCCGTCGCGTGAACCTTCATCAAGGCGGAGGATTTTCTGCAGCCATTCCGGGACTTCGATATCCTCAGTGGTTTTCTGCCAGCCGCGATGAGTCTGTTCCGCAACGTTCTGTAATTCTTGAAAGAAACCCGAGGCAGCGCCACCAGCCGTCTCCCCTGCTCGTTTGAATATATCAATTGCGTAGTTCCCTGCCTCTATAGAGATTGTCAGCCAGTCGCGTTACTCATTAGCAATTAGTGACCGAAGACGCACGTGTAGCCTGGTACTGGATATAAGCAAAGCCTGCGACCATAGCTCCTCCAAACATCGCCGGTAGTCTGACCATCTTCAAAGCAAGCTTCGGAAGCATCCGTGCAAAAGAGATCGTCCGCACGGCAGGAACATTGTGAATTGCATTTGCTCCAACAGGCCAAGCACGGCCTCGAAGTGCAGCACCTCCCTCTGAGCGTAGTAGCCCTCCAGTTCTTGCGCCAGCATTGTGGACATGGCGGGCCAGAAGGCCCGTCCGCAATAGCGGAACAAGACGGTGCGAGAGTATTCTCCCGCTCATGGCTTTTGAACACTCATACACCACAGATCAGCCGGGAGAGTATAACTTATCATCTCCGAGCTGCAAGCTGCGGACGGCGATGATACTTGCTGTTTTGTGCCGAAAGCTGGGTAACTTGAATGACGGTTGATGTAATCAACAACGGTCCCGCGATGAAGGCGAATCTCCACTATGGGATTCCCGTGACTTGCGCTTTTGGCCGCTTCGTACACCGGAGAAAGTCGGTGTGAGTCACGTGTGGCTCAATGAGGAATACATGGAGGTGTCACCATTGAAGGAGTGTTTTTAAAGGAGCTTACTGGGTTGTTCGAGTTACCATCATCTTGCCACACAATTCCGTGGAACCCGAGGGCTGCGGTTAGTTGTTGTGCAAGCGAATGGTGGAAGACACGGTCTGGCTTTCATCATCGGCCTGTGCATTCACGGCATAGAGCTAAATAGACCAAGATTGTACATGGTCTGGACTCTGTAGCTTCCCAATTTCTATCAAGTCGGACTTCATTGTGGGCGCCTTTCACGGCTTTTTCTTTACCGTTTAGAGCTATTTCCTCTACATCGCGAACCATGTGCCGTTTCCTGGTATGATCAAGTATCAAACCCTTATACCATGCTACCTGACTGACCGCTTCTTCGCCAGGTATACAAGGGTAGACATGAGATTCGTCTCAGCAAACTAGTGACAGAACCCAGTCATTCGATTTTAACACAGTCCTATGACTCGCGCTTACGCTTGGTAAGTTCTACCTCAACAATGAGCAGACTCCTAGTTTGCCAATTGGTTGAACGAAGCATAGCTGACATCTCGGACCTCAGGATAATCGCCGACCTGTCAACGGCGACGGCTTCGGCGTAGGATTCTACACTGACCCCAAGCTAGGCCCAGAGCCCTGTATATTCACCTCGACACTTCCGGCCTGGAACTGTGAGAACCTGGAGCGCCTGGCTTCCAAGACATGCTCGAACCTCATCTTTGCGCACGTCCGCGCCACGACGGAGGGGACGCTCTCCGATACTAACTGCCACCCATTCCAGCATCAGACTCTGATGTGGATGCACAATGGCAACGTCGGCGGCTGGCAATACATCAAGCGCACGCTAGCCGACTCGCTCGCGGACAAGTGGTACCTCGGCGTAAAGGGCGGCACAGATAGTGAATGGGCCTTTGCGCTATTCCTTGACCTTTTGGAGA